GAGGGGGATCAGGGAAATGTTATTGAAACACAATCAAAATCCTATAGCCCCTAAAAAGAATAATTTATCATATTTAAGATATTAGGAAGTGTTAAGGCTATTCATTTTTGCCTTTTTTTTTTTTACGATAGAGAAAGAAAGAAATTGTATCTCTTTTGAAACATCATAAAACCTGGAAACAGATCATTAAGGGTTATAATGGCATTTCTGACTCGACAAGCCGCACAGCGTTCTAACTATTATAAGTAGAATCATAGTTTGACAGACCCAACGAAGCTATTGATGGCATGGTTTATTATAATATGAAACTCGGCTGTTTTTTTCTGAAATAATAAATACTGATTTTCATTTAATTTTTGCACATTGTAGTTGAAGTGGAGTTGGGAGAGGTTGTCGAGCGTTCCAAAGAAAGCCAAACAGAATTTATAAAACACGCCATCCAAAATGTAAGTAGCTACGGAACCTGCCTTTTTTCGCTGCAATTACAATAATCTCGGGATTTCCGACCCTCTCGCCAGAGAAGCATATAAACGTTGTACGCTATAATATACGCCTAAGGCTTGAACTAACTCTTTCGGGCACAATAAGCATCTCAAGTGGATATTTTAAAGTCACAATTGCAGAAATTACGTCTAATCTCCCCACGGAGAGTGGGGTGGGGCTGACACCATCTGAACCAAGAAGTGAAGCTGAGAATTGAGATATTGTTTATTTGTTTTCTCTTAGATTAAGGGTTCTCTGTTACCTTCGGGATCTCTTGCTGGCTTCTCCGGATCACTGACAGTTAACATGGACAAATTCCGTGAACAGATCACGCAGGAAGATAAATTTGGGAAACACAAAATCGTTCTGACATCTGGAGGGATGGACATCCCTGAGCCAATAGGATAAAAGCTTGTTCCTGTGTACGAGTCCCTCAACAGAAAATTTTACCAATTGTCGGATGCAGGATCTGGGCCAGTGTGCAAACATACGGAATCACTTTTGAGGTCCAGAAAGAATAATTTGGTACAATCCTGAAGGAACATCCGCGGCTGGAGGGTGCCAATGCACCAATTAGTAAATAAAGATATCTTAATCCGCCAGCTCAAAATCGTGAGGGGTTCTCCTCTGCAAGGAAACTTCCTGAATTTGCCGTGTGGACTCAATCTCCTAAATTATCATTGGAAATCTAAGTAGTGGACGCTCATATTCAAATTAATACTTTTTTGATAACACGAGTGAAAAAACATAACATCGTTCTTTTTCTTCATAGTCAATTAGGTTCATTGTCTCCATTTTTTTTCAAAACTGGCCAATATTCGAATTTTACAACGCAAAAAGAAACAAATTTTGATCTGGCCCTGAAAAGTGTGCCGGAAATTATGACAAAATGTTAATGCATCAAGATAACTTCTGTAATTATTAAAGAACTTTTTGTACCTGTCTGATTTTCTCATCGTTTTTCCCTTTCCTTTTTTATTTATTTTTTTTTGGTTTTTTACTTTTTCTTTCTTCTCATAGATCCCCCGGTAGTTATACCGCTGACCTGGCCCCAGGGAACCTATGGCCTTCCCATGACCACCCACGGCTGTCCTAATGAAGCTTGTTTCACATGGCATCATGGGTATCGTTATCTTGAAAACGAGATTGATAACAGCTGGTCTTTTCCCTACCACCTGGCGGGTAAAAGGAGTATTTGGACGAACCAAAAGGCGTACTGTGTCAAGACCAAGGCCCAGGGGCCCGTTTCTCGAAAGTCCCGGCAACTTAACGGACCCGTAAAGCTGTTCTGTTTTCATTCAAGATGGGAATTTCAAAAGTTTTGAAAATAATAAAATAAAACTGTCAGCTAAAGAAACAAAATGGACTAATTTGTGAGCTAGAATCTGCTTTTCTATCCTTTAAATTTTGATTTGAAAACTTGGCTTCGGGCCCGTTAAGTTACCGGGACTTTCGAGAAACGGACCACAGGGCACAAAATATGACGTAACTTGGTCACCAGGACAATATTGTCTCTTCAAGAAAGGAGACTGTCCGGAAGGTTTGTTTTTGTTAACAAAATAATTATTAATAATTATTAATAATTATTAATAATTATAAGCAGAACAACTTTAATATTGTTTGTAATCAAAAAAGCATAAATTCGTATGCCGTTTAGCTTTTCAAACCAGAGATCACTTGTTAACACCATTGTTATTGAGATTAATTAAATTATCTATATCTGAGCCTGCTAAGAGAAATAGAGAGTAAAGAAATGGAATATGATGATAAAACTGGCCTTCAAGTTTCCTACCCTCAGTTTGTTGATAAATATGAATTTTAAAGAGTTGAACTTTTTAAAGAAAATAAGGTACTTACGATCATTTTACCGCACAACCAAATCTGACACGAGAAGATTATTCGTCATTCATATCTCGTTTGAACTATTTTCAAGTTTTGTTTATAGAATAAGAAAGATGGTACATTCGTCTATATTTTCAAGTACTGTACTCTGGTCTACTCATTTTTCTGTAAACCTGATATTTCATTCATCTCTTAAGCATATACATGATACTTTGATATTTTCGACAGGTTTCAAAACTGGTTTCATTCCCTGGGACGATGAAAATAACGATAACAACAACAATTTCAGGGGAGCAATGCCTATGGCAAGTTTGTCAAAAACATTCTAATGGAGTACTGCGGCCGCACGGATGGACACGCTGAAAACGACATCATCCTGCCCACCGACACTCCGTTCGTGTTTTTCAATTCGAACTCTCATCAGTGTCAGCATGTACAGGGCATGCGTTGGAAGAAGGAATGGTTCTAGTGGGATACCAAAGGACTGGTCTTTCTCTGGAAACGAAAAACTGGGATCTGTTCCGTATGAGGAAGTCCGGAGGAATATCAAGTTGTATGATTTTTATTATTACCGGTAAACTGAACCGAGGCTACTTGCTCGAGAAATGTTGTTCATGAATAATAAAGATAAGAGAAATACGTCATCTATTAGTTTCTTAATTGGTGATGATGATGATGAAACTTTATTAAGGTGTCTAAAGAAACCTCCTAGCTTAGGTTAGAAACCTGTGCTTATTAGGGGACACAACATAAATAAATATAAATTAAGGTAAAAATATCTAAATATATGCTCAAGTATAAATGATATCGGTATTTACAGTATGACAAATGTATCTATGAATTACAAAGATGACAGCACTTGCATCCATTATCCATTAGTGTAACTAAATCTGATGTACGTATTTTGTTTTTGAAACATTTTAAGGTGGTAACTTTTCTCAAGTCTGGGGATAATTCTCCCCAGAGATTGGGCCCTAAATGGCGGAGGGAGTGCCTGGCATATGTTACCGTATTGTACCTGGCAACGGAGAAATCAGACTGCCTTAGGCTATAGTTAGATCTATGCTTAATAAAAATGTCACTAATATAGGAGGGACATAGATTGTTCTTGGCTTTATACATTAAAACGCAAATGTCTTGTAATCTCCTGTTCTGCAAACTAGGGAGTTCTGCTCTTTTTAGAAGTTCAGGATAACTAGCATTGCTCCTAAAGACAGCACGCAGCACGCAGCACGCAGCACGCAGCACGCAGCACGCAGCACGCAGCATGCAGCACGCAGGCCCCTTTCTTGCATCCGCTCGATTTTACGAGAATCACTGGCTCGGCAAAAGTGCCACATAAGGTGGCAATATGTAAGGTGCGGCAGTATTGCTGTTTTGAACGCGCCTCACAAAATAGTTCTTAAAGATCTTCAAAGAAGCTCCGCCTTCTATATCAGGTGGTATGTAAGTACAAAAGGAAAAAAAGACACCTTGGAACCGTAACTAGAGCGTCTCAAAAAGGGTTTGACGTAGATCCAACAGGAGTGGTGCCAGATAAAAGATGTGTGCTTTGTGGGTTGGTACAACTTTGTAGGTTAAAGCAGGTTTATATAAAGCAGGTTTATATAACAGGTACAAAATGGATGTTGGACGGCAAACAAACTGACGTAGCACGCAATTTTCAGGATTTCAAGATAGATCAATTTTATTTCCCCCTTTTTTCCTCATCAAGATTTTTCTTTGTTCTGTTCTGTTTATAATTCTGGGAACTGTAAAGCAAATGGCTCTCAGAAATCTGATCTTTCTTCGCTGAATTCCGAATTATTACGAAAGATATCGAAATATTGCTGGTGTGCAATTGTTGCAGAGCAGTGGAGTTAAAATGATTTTTTTCACATATCCGACATCCATGCAGTACTTTACTTTTTTCCACAAAGTGTATATATCCATCCTTATCTGTTTCTATATGTCCATTCCTAAATCTTTTTTAGATTTTCTAAAATTATCGTGACAAGGAACATGCAGTAACGCAACTTTTGATTACCCAATGATGTCTCGACTGATGTGTTGGGGGAATCCCCGAAAGTTGATGCTGTCATAAATACAGTATTCGGGGAAAAATAAACTTATGTTTGCATTTTATCCTTAAAATTAATACCATTTCATCGCCAACGAAGCATTTTTTTCACAGCTTCAATCGGCAACTGTTTTCGCTGATGCATCCTCTTTAATTTAGAATCGAGAATCAAACTTGTAAGCTTTGTGTGAAACCGGCAAAGGGATTTGAATCGTAATAATTCACCGACTGGTTCCGCACCGAACAGGAAAATTTCTGATGCAATATATTCGCATTCCTTTTCTTTAGAAAAGGAGAGGTCTCGAGGGGCTTCAATCATTTCTGGTCGGTATAAACGTAACAAGGAAATTCTGGTAGAACCATGGCAATGAATCTTCTAGGTAACCGAGTTGTTCGTGGCGAAGATTGGCAATGGGGAAACCAAGATGGAGGAGAAGGTTTTGTAGGGACAGTAGTTCAAGTCGGACGAGACAAGAAGTCGCCTAGTACAGCACAGCTTGTTTACGTACAGTGGGATTGTGGAGCGAGGGCGAACTATAGGGCTGGATTCCAAGGGAAACACGATCTTCGTGTACTCTGCCTCACAAATGGCGGTAAGTGATCATGCCGATTTACGTTTCTTACTATTTATCATGCGTTGAGTGGAAAACATTTGCCCTGATTCAACCAAACAACTATAGTGGTGAATTATCTTCCTTAAAGAATCATGATATAAAATGCAATTTCAGCACTTCTTTTAGGAAGCAGATTGTGTAACACATAAGCAGACACATCGTGGTATAAAATGCAGTCTCAGCACTTCTTTTAGAAAGCGAATGTTGCAACAATTTCAGTGAATTAACACAGTAGCAGGTTTGACGGACATGCGGTTGACCAGAAAAAAATCATTGGATTTTCAACTGAAGTTGAAATCCCTGGACAAACTGACTTGAAACTTAAAAAGCGATCCTTGTTTCAAATTTAATACTTTATTAGTAAATGCTTTCCTTGCAAAATTGTGAGTCGTTGGACTTTTAACTATCGCCTTTCATAAACTTATAGACAGAATTCCAAATCTCTGACCACGTTGTTTGTTTGACAAGCTTTATATAGCATCACTGCTTAGTATGCAGATTTCTCATGCATAAAGCTGCTTTTAGCTACCAAAAAACCTGAAAGCTATTGTTCAAGAGTGACCTCAGATGACCTTGGCACAGATATTTTAAGGCTTCCTTGTTTTCCGGAAATTTCAACTTGTCACTGATTAAGGCTTGCGAACGCTACCGGGAAAGTAAAACAAGCAACGTGAAGGTCTTACTTTACGTTGGATTCTGCCAACAACTCAATTGATTTAAAACTCAAAGAAGCTTTTTATATAAATAAGATCAAACCTGAGCTTCACAAATAATTACAGCATTATAACACTTTTCTAGCATTTTAGTTCACACCTTTAATTTCATGTGTGTTGTCACGCTGTAATTAGCACCCACCTTTTGTATTACATCATACTGTAAATATTTTATTCATCTACTTGTCTGTTATATAATTACTCACGTTCAGTTACTCATTGATCGAAAATGGCATAAGCATGCCGAAACATGTCTCTAAAAAAAGTCGTATATTTCTTGCAATATTTATCCTACTTGCTACTACTACGAACTTTCAGCGTAGTTTCAAGCATTATTAATTCACGAGTCTCACTCTTCGTGTTAGTAAAAAAAAAAAATTTACATAGCCTGGTAAACGCCTGGTCCGCATCGCAGCTGTTCTTCGGGATGATTTGAATATATCAACAAAGTTGAAATGGTAAATTGGACACCGTTACGTTTCGAGCGTTAGCTCTTCTTCGGAGCCCTTCGTCATTCGCTCCGACGAAGGGCTAACGCTCGAAACGTCAGCTTTTATAACCGTAACCGTGTTTACGAACCTGGTTGCTTAGAGTGAAGAGAAAAGACCCTCCTGTGTCGAAACATTCTTACCTCTGCAGTCAGCACTTTTCTGAAGATTTTTTTAAGCGTTGTGTGAGAGGAAAACGATATCTGAAAAGTGGATCTGTTCTTACAAGATTCAGTTTTTCACCGGAGGAAAAGCCAAAGCGGAAAGCTCCTGTTGATCGCTCAGCTGCAGGGGAGACAAAAACAAAGCACGAAGTCAAAGATGAAGTTCTACTGAACTCCCAGTCTAACTCTATCGATAATTTAGCAGATTTAGAATCTGTTGATATTCCATCTCAAGAAGATGGATTTCCAAGTTTCATTACTGATAAAGCTAAGGCGGCTAAAAGCAAAGAAGAACTTTTAATCGAACAACTTAAAAAAAGGGAAGAAGAAGTGAGGCGCTTGAAAGAATGTCTCCAGGTTCAGAGGAAGGAACTCGAAGAAGAACTTATTGAAAAAATTAAACTGGACTTGAACAAGAAAGGGAGCTTAGGAAAGAGTTGGAAAGTATGCTCCAACAAAGTCTCTTTAACACTGATAATATCAAGAGTAATTCAAAGTTGTTGCGATTCTATACTGGCTTTCCAAACTATGAATTTTTCCGCAGTCCTTAGCTTTTTAAGCAGTCTTTATTGCCTTCATTATCTGCCGATTTTCTCTCAGTAAAGTAATTCATCATGTTCTCAATTGTGAACAGTGGAAATTCAGCACTCTGGATGGGACACCAGTTTGCAGCTTGTGGAAACTCGTACGGAGTGTTCGGACAACTCGCGCTGGACGAGGAAACATCATCATTATTTCTGGAGTCAGATGCTAAGTGTTTCCAACTTTCGGTGAAATTTTTTTCCCATCCATTTTTTATGTACGCTTAAAAGAGAGAAAAAAATACTGTTATTGCTGTACGAATATTAGGCAGGAGGAACGATCGTACATCCTACCGCTCAGCTTTGCATTAGTTCGCGTTTGTTGGCGTCACTCGAAGCACTACCATCTTTTTGCTGTTCCTACACGATATGAAAGCCACGTTCTCAGCCTAGGCTTGGTTAAATGACGAGGACAGTTTCCACTGAGTAATTGTAGCTTTTCTTCTTGTGAGAAAAATGGAAAATCTGGACGGGAACTCGTAATTATTTTTCTCGAATTTTCCTCACTAGGCGCTTGCTTTCTCCTGAAACATTGACCCGAAAGCTTCGATTTCGCGTAATCTGTAACTAATACCGTTGTAGCGTGGGCTCGACTGTAATAACAGCTATTTACCATTTCAATTTTGTTGATATATTCAAATTATTTCGTTATCCCCACCGACGCAGCGCCAAACAGTTTCTTTAGAAACTATCAGCCTTTGTTCTTCGGGATGCCAATCATCGCTTCCTTCACCCCTCCTCTAAGAAAAAGAAAAGGGTGCGGAAGGTAGTATAGAAAATTTAGCAACATTATGAAATAGGCTGAAAGAATGAATAATAAACAGTTCAAATGAACGAAATAGCAGAGCAGATGTAGAGCAACAGACCTACTTGTTCTTTACGCATTGGGCCACTAGAATTCGTCGCACAAACTCGTGTAGCCTCCAGACACCTTTCTCAATTTTCGTTAGCCGTCGCCGAAACATATGCGGCAGGTTTTGAAAATCAGTGAAACATTTTTGTTATTTTCGGAAATCTTCGAAACGTGTTTTGGTTAGCAAGGTCCGGTAAAGGTTATTATGCACTAGGGACCTAACTGTTATGCGAACAACCACTGCCGGTGAATCTATGAATATCATATCCTTGCATTACAGATTAATATATCGAGATGAAAGTGTTTATCACAGCTGTGAACACTGCTTAGGCACGAATGAAAATAAAGTCTGAAAACATTCCAGCTTGTCAATTGGATCCGGCTCCCGTACTGGCCTGAAGTTTTTTTGGCCTTATTCTTCGATCATTACTGCTTATGCAGTAATATGCGAATATTGCTCTAATCTTCCGAGGTACACCATTCCGTTTGTTAACGTAAGGTATCTCGCTAATTCGTAGTCTGTTTGCCTCTTCTATTAGATGCGAAGCATCTGGGTGTTAGCTGCGATGGTTGTAAAGAAGATCCTATGATTGGACTGCGCTGGCATTGTTTAGATTGTCCTAACTATGATCTGTGTAGCAAATGTTACATGAACGATGTCCATGATCTCAATCATCGCTTTGAACGAATCGACAAAAGTCGTACAAAAGGGTAAGTTTTCAGTGGCCTTTGTGACCTTCTAAACCCATCTATGTTAAAACTGTTCCATTGTCTGAAATCAAATGTGACCACAAAGTCATTCTCTTGTTTTCAGAACTCAATCATGGGTAACTTTAATAGAGACTCGAGTATCGGTCTCAAACCTTAAGCAACCACGACGGCGACGGCAACGAGGAGGTGGAAAAACAAGAGATCTAATTGGCAGAACAATAGCGCAGCACGTGGATTTTGAAACTTTGTACATTTCTTAGTCGTCCTATGCAAAACAACAACGTGAAATCACTGAAATCTGCGTCGTCTGCGAACCGAAACCGCGACGGCAAATTATTTTAATTTCCATTTGGAACTCAACGCTGCTTTTATACGTCATGCTGAAGTTGAGCAGTGGCGTCGTATGAGACAGTAAGCTCATGCAGCCATTTTTAAAATTCTAACTAAGAGTAGAAATTCATTTTTTAATCAAAGTGTTCCTTGGCGTTGCCGTCCTGAATGCTTAAGGTCCCTAATGTGCGCTGTTAACCAAGCTTGTTCGGGCAAGATGACTTGATATTGGCCGAGTTAATTTTTTGCATTTTTATGGACCGAGACAAAGTTGAGGTTCATAAAATGCGAAAAAAGAACGAGCCTAATATCCAGCCATCTTGATGAACAAGCTTAGTTAATAAAGGATTTATTATATTCTCACGAGGGTCGTTTCTGTTTTCTTTGTTGTGACTATCTTTTGCCGCTTTTTGCGTTTCCATCGCCGAAATTGTCCAAGAATTACGAACGTAGGTCTAATTCTAGTTTTT